GCCAGGAGCCTCTTCCTCCAGGTCTCCCATGCAGGTGCAAGGTCCCAAGGCTTTGGGCTGTCCTCCACTGCTTTCCCAGGCCACAAGCAGGGAGCTGGATGGGAAGCAGGGCTGCCGGGATTAGAACCGGTGAGAAAGGAGCTATATATACATATATATATATAGCAGCTGTATGTGGTATGCCCAGTGCCCGCCACTGAAAGCACAAAGAACAAATAGAGATGGAGAGGAAGGCGCACTCAGTTTATGTGCGTACTGTAACAACCTCAAACTGAGCAGCTGAAGACAACAGAAATGCATTCTCATGCAGTTCAGGGGCGCAGAAATGTGGAATTCGGGTGTTCGTGGGGCTGAAGTCCTCTGGAGGCTCCCGGGGGAGTGCTTCCTTGTCTCTCCTGGCTTTGGGTGATTGTAGGCTTTGCCTGGGATGTTGCCTCAACCTCTCCATCACTGCCTGTTTGAAAGGGGTCTCTTATGTGTGTGTGGGGGTGGGGATTGGTGAGGGAGAGGAGGAAAGAGAGAGACAAAGTGAAGGGAGGAGTAGTCTTCCTCCGACTCTGATCAGGGCAGCTGATAGATTGCATCTAGGTCTGACCCAGAGACAGATGGCTACGGTCAGGCTTGAGGTGATAATGATAAAAGCATGGCGACCTAGGCTTCAGCTGCAACTGAACACTGGGCAGGTACAGTCAGCAGCATCCTTCAAGTAAGGACCTCCAGGTAGGAGCCCTGGCTCACAGCACGGGATCAGCTGAGAGCTTCCTTGAAGCGCTTGTTCTTGCATCTCACTCTAGACCCTGTGAATCAGAAACGCAGAAGGAAGTACCTAGCAATCTGCATTTTAATCGGACCCTCTAAACGGACGGAAGGCAGTTCGCAGTCAAGTTTGGAAGCAGGAATGGCTGTGTTTTCTGTAGTTGGATGGTCTGCCTTGTCACCGAGGCAGATGTGTTCTGACATTGCTCCTCTCTGCCCCACCCTCTCCCTCCCTCCCTAGGAATGTATCAAGTTCTAGAGCATGTACTAGGTCCTTGCCACGTGTTCTGTCAGATCCGTCCGGGGGGATCAAGGATCGTATTTCTGGTTAGGGTTCTTTCCCCTCTCCCCCCCACCCCAAATTAGTTGACTATTTGGGTTTTTGTGACAATCCGATTGTTCACACTTCTGCTGGTGAGGGTAGCAAATTGTTGTTAAATGGTTGTTTGTTTGTTGTATGTGCCTAATTTACATGAAGGTAGGTTCAAACAAAAACGCAAAAGCAGAGAGCAAAGGATCACTCTGCTTTCCAAGGAGTTAGAGCAAGTTAGATATGAATACAGATTTAGAATGAAGTGTGATTAGCTCGGTGTAAAATTTGAGGGGGGTAAAGTCCCAAGGTACTCAGTAACCAGGGTAAGCATTGCAGTGGCAAGTTGTGGTGATGCCTCATCTCAGGATGGCTACAGCTCAAGTCCTGGTTCATGTCCCAGCTCTTTAGGGCTTTGGATCAAGCTTCCTACCAATGTGGCTTGGAGGAAGCACATGAAGGCTCAAGTATTTGGCCTCCTGCTATACATAGGGGAGACCCAGGAGATCCAGATGAAGTTCCTGGCTCCTGGAAGCATTTGAGGAGTAAACCAGCAGATGGATGGATAGATGGAGGGATGGAAGGATGGATGGATGGATGGATAGATAGATAGATAGATAGATAAATTCCTCTGTCACTCTGCCCTTCAAATAAAGAAATAAATCTAAAATAATAAATAGTATTGTAATGCATTCTTTTTAAAAATTGAAGTCTGAGACTGGCATTTATGTCATGCCAGGTTAAGCGATCACAGAGGATGCCAACGTTCTGTCTGGGCAGTGGCTCAAGTCTTGGCGTCCCACCTCTAATCCAGCTCCCTTCTCATGAACCTTGGAGACTAGTGGAAAATGGCTCTTAAACTAGGGAGACCTACATGGGAGACCCAGATGAAGCTCCTGGCTTGAGCCTGGCTAAGCTCTGGACTTGTAGCCTTTTGGGGAGTGAACTGGAAGAAGGAAGAACTAATTCTCTCTCTCTCTCTCTGAAATTCTGCCTTTTAATCTTTACAAAAATAAAAATCAAATGAGAAAGAAGTCAATACTCAAAGTGTCAGTGCTTAAAAAGATGCAAGATCCCATCCCCACGTCTGCTGTGTTTACTCACCACACCCAATGGCAGCTGTCCAGTACGCCCGTCAAGAAGGAGCAAGCCTCCGCGGCTTTATCATGAGTATGATTGAGTGGATACATTGACCAACTAATTTGGAGAATGCTAAGCATTCATATTTCCTATTCCAGAGTGTATAGAAGCCATAGTAAGTACTTTGTAAAGTACTGAAATTATGATTTTTTTTAAAAGATGACATGCCTATTTCTAACATAACTGATTGAAACTATTCTGTATTCATGGAAAGTCATCCTGGATCTTCTTCTACGCTCATGTAATCCACCTGTCTAGGAGCATCTCTGTTCCTTACTGCCTACTCGTGCTTGGTCTATCCTATCCTACGGCTCCTCTGATGAGGTGTCATTTAGCATGGTGGGATGGTGATCTGTGTTTCTCCCTGCCCCTCTGCTCTACTTTTTTCTTTTCTTTCTTTCTTTTCTTTTTTTTTTTTTTTTTGGTCTCTCATAGGTCTTCTATTTAGAGTTGAATGACGAAAAGAGCAGAAAGTGAGGCCTTCATATGTTTAGGTCAACTACTACACATGTATGTGACCCAGGGCCAACTGTGTCTCCTGTCTGAATTTTAATTTCCTCATCCATGGCATGAAAGAATCCAGTGAGATCATTTTATATTCCTTTGGATCTCAAACTCTGCGCTTCCAATTCCAGCCCAGAAATTTCTTATCTGTGGGCTGCTGGTTTTTAAACCCTCTACTTTTGTCTCCACTTTGTCTCCAATCAGGAAAATTCTCTCTCTCTCTCCCCCTCTCCCTCTCTTGTGAGGCATGTTTGATGAGATGGGAGAAGTATCTGAAACTTTCCTGTGCCCAGTGAGTTCTACAGAAAGCTGTGAGTCAAAACCCAGTACTGCTCTCCCTCCCATACCTAGAATGCTCTTCAAGAATACCCACACCAATTGTTATTTGCCTCATCATCTTTTCATTTAACTCACATCATTCGTTTGTCCTGCAAGTGGTTATGGAATGTCATCTAAATAGCAGGTCATTTTTTTTATAAGTCCTGAATAAGAGTTTCTGCTGTCGTGTTGCAGCCATTTATTCTAGCACAAACAAAAGGCCTCAACAGGGTCACAGAACAGACACGTGACATATAAAGACGCAGCACAGATTTCTAAGATTTTGCATAGCAAAATTAACCTGAACCAACATGATATAATGTGTGAGAAGGATCTAGCTTGAGGCATCAAAAAAAGCGTCCATCAAGAACTCTGCTAAAATTGAAGTAAGGGCACACATCAAAGTTATGGTGAGCCCTTGGGGAAAGGATGATAAAATCTTTATGTGAAATTTATGGGGATAATGGTGCAAAGAAGGCTGAAGTTTACAACTGGATTAGTTATGATAAGACCATGCTGAAGATGTTGCCTGTTGCAACTTACTATCCATATTCAAAGTATAAAGGAAAAAAAAAATTCATCTTGTGAGTGCCCTAGCTGAAAAGGACCAATAAAAAAAAAAAAACAGCAGAAACAACAGCAAATGCCATGCACTTCCCAACTGATTTAGCCTATTTAATTCTGCCTGAAAAATTAAAGTGGAGCAAACTTTGTGTTCAATAAGTATTGAAATTGTGTCCAGACCGGCTGTAGAGTAGAGCTTTCCATGGAAAGTTTAAGCAAATAGGATCAAGATGTGAAAGCATTTTTCTGCAGAATTGTACTAGGAGATCAAGTGTTCTAGTCAACTCATAAATGGACCCAGTCAAGGGTAGAGTTCACAGGAATGATTTTGGGGGAGGGGTGGAGGTGGAGGGATCTGAAGTATTTGGACCATGTGCTGCCTCCTCGGTGTAACAGCAGGAAGCCGCATCAGAAGCGGAGACAGGATGTGCTTGCTGATACTGTGGCATCAGATTCAAAGTGAGCTGCTGCACGCTCCTGATTTGACTTCTGACTCCTTTTGGTTCCCTAACATGACAAACTCTTTAATCTCACCAACACATCACTTTTGCTCAGTAATGTCAAAAAGACCGCACTGATCCGGTTCAGTTCCCCGGACTCTCCGTTCTTTAGAAACAGATGGATCGCATCACTTGCACTGATTGAAACCTGATGGAGTTTGAAGTCGATAGAGATATTATCGGAAAGCTTATGTCCCTTGCGCAGTGGATGCGCAATGAAAGGCATCCACTAGTCTGCAGGATTCAATGGAAGGCAGGAAACAGAACTTGCTGAGTATTAAAGAGTACAAATGCCCTTGTGTGGACTTTGTGAAGATTATGTCCTGGCATAATGTGCCAGGATGAAGCTTTCCTGATGCCAGAGGGTCACTTGCTTGTCTCCATTCTAGCTTCCAAGTCCCTACCCGAGTAGAGCAGCTAAAGGGGAAGAAATGATTCTTTTTCCTCTTCATCCCCATCACCTTGCTGAGGAACTATTAGACCTCTGCACCATCCTGGCTCTCTTCCTGGGAGCAGTGAGGTGCCTCAGGAGCCGTGGAATTATATCAGGAGAAATGGTCACCCATTTCTGTACTGTTAGCCAGTGGGTCAGTGTGTGTCTCCTCTGGAGCACCAGGACTGCAGATTTCCTTGGACCCAGGGTCTTAGTCTGTGAATGAGCTTTGCTCCTCAAGCTGTGTTGGGTGAGTGGAGTACAATGGAGGACTAGAAGAAACAGGGGAAGACTATATGCTCTCCTGCTCCTGCCTGCTCCAGACTCCTGCAGTGGAAGAGAACACGGGAGCGGCAGAGAACCCGTGTGCCCTGGCTCTGCGGGCTCTGCCCCAGTGCTTGCAATAGAAACCCTTCACAGTGCTCTTACCGCCTGCCAGGCCGAGCTGCTCACAGCCTTCTTCCTCCTCTTCCAGGCAGTGCTGAGCCCGCTCATAGCCATTGCGCTGAAAATATCCCAGCTGCACGAGAGAACCGGCCGCCGCGGACCCACCGTCATCACCTGAACAGAGAGGGAAGACCACTCCCCAGGGCCTGAGAGATGGCTCAGCGGGAGCTCCAGCACCCACGCCTTCTTGCTCCCTGTCTGTGCCTCTTACGACTTGTGAAAAACAAAAGAGATTTTGCTGTTGTAGGGGAGGTTAGGGATAAGGTAAAAAAACAAAAACAAAAACAAAAACAAGCCCCCCAAAACCTGTTTGCTTTGTTTTTTTCCAGTTCCTCCCAGTGTGATAGGGTCTTGTCTTCAGTTGTTCGTTAAAGCTGCACTATCATTTGCTATCCAGGTTTTGTCACACAGAGAAGCCTCCCTTTGAGAAGAAACCAGTGAGTTAGGAGACTGTTCAGAGCATCTGTGCTTCATTGGTGTCACATGAGAATTCAAAAAGACTCGTTAAAAGACAGGAGAGAAAGTGCTAGAAGGAAGCTGAACCAAGCCACAGGTGTTCCTGCATGGTCAGCACCCACACGCGCCATCGTGGAGGAGGACTTGGCTTTTTCTAGGTTAGTCCTCCAAGGGGGAAGGTTTCTAAAATCTTGATGGCCAGCCAACCCATCCTATCCCTAACAGCCCTGTACCACTTTCCTTCATGTCTTCTAGAATTCTCTGCAAATCACAATGACGCATTTCCAACAAAACATATCACAAGTTTTTTTTCTCCCCCCCCCCCCGCCTCCTATTTTGTAGATACTGTTTTACCTCTTTGGCTCGCTCTGTTCTTTCAAAGTCAGCCATTTTTGCACAGGTGGTAAAGAGTTTCTCGACAGGGCTACAAATGAATGCTCACACTGGAGGCCTTTCCATGGTTATATCCTTTAGACAGACAGCTGGATCCATAAAGATTTCCCCTGACAAGACAGAAATATACCCGCACGCACTGTCTCTCTGGTCTTTCCAGAAAGGCCTATTTCAACACACTTGTTTGGACACGATTCTGATCCTATTTGTAAGGTCTGGAACTGCACAGTGAGAAACTATGAAAGTCAGAAGTGACATCAATGCAGGAAGGAAAATGACTAGGGGTGTGGTTGTTGGCTTGATAAGACGGGGAAGAGTGGGGACCCTGCTGTGCAGCCGAGGCCCACAGCCAGCTTTCTGTGCCCAGGAGAAAGACAGTGCAACCCCAGCAGCCTCTTCTGTTCTCTCACAGAGCAGTCCTGGCTTGGATCTTGATTGCATGTTTTGCCTCCTTGGCAACGGCCCACTCACTCACCATGACATTGGCAGAGATGACCTGGTGCACTATGGCCGTTAAGCGATGTATTATTGGCGTAGGCAAGGGTAGTACAAGCAAGGAAACATTCCCAGTAAGGTATTTGTTTCCATTTTCTGTCTGTGCTTCTGTCAGAAACTTGTTAAGACATTTAATAGTCAATAAAAACCAAATTCCTCAATTCAGCCTCATCCACGGCTTGGCATTTGTTTATTTCTTCCTTTTGCCATTTGAGAAACTCCAGTGACTGCTAGGCCTGCCTTCCAGAAGACTTGGGCTCTTTTTCATTATTCTGACCCTGGGGAAATTATTTTTTGAAAAAAGAAATAGCACCAGAAAAGTGAATTGGGCAAAACTGTCTTTGGGATTCAGCGGAAACTAGAATGACATTTAGGCCTTCGTCGTGGCTGTCTTTTTTTCAGTGTATACTTGTCACTCTGCATCCCGATGGACTCATCCTGGAACTCCTGAGGAAGCCAAAAATGCACAGGTGCCCAAGTCCCTTCTATAAAATGAGATGATATTTGCATATACCCTATGCATGTCTTCCCATATGCCTCAGATCATCTCAAGGTTATTTATAATACCCAAGCAATTTAAGTGCCAAGTAAGGAGTAGTTACACTGTGTTGTTTAGCAAACTATGACAAGAAGCCAGTGTGACGGATTAACTGGCTAATCCTGCACCTGCAAGCTCCAGCATTCCCTATGGACTCCAGTGTGTGTCCCAGCTACTCCACTTTTCTTTAAAAAAAATTTTTTTTTTAAATTTATTTTTGATGATTTTCACATAGATGATTAGGATGCAAAGGGTCATGGGCTACAGGAAGGTGGGTGAGACCATTGTTTCCACAATATCTTTTTTTTTTCTTCCTGCCTCTGGGGGAATGGAATAGACAAGGGGAGAAGCCTCTCCCAGCGTCCCGACACCTCTGTAACCTGGGATGGAGGATAGCCACCCAATGCCATCCTAGATGTGGGGTGCTGGCTGCTCCACTTTCAGATCCCTGCATTCGACCTGGGAAAGCACTGAAGGATGACCCAAGTGCTTGGGACCCTTGCACCCAGTGAGAGACCTTGGAAAAAACTCCTGGTTCCTGACTTAAAATTGGCTCAGCTTCAGCCTTAGCAGCCATCTGGGGAGTGAAACAGTAGGTGGAGGATTTTTTTCTCTCTGTCTCTCCTTCTCTCTATAGACAAGCCTTTCCAATCAAAAGAAATAAGTCTTACAAAATGACAGAAAGGAGAATGCATGTTCAGTACCCGTGCAGTTTTCCCCCCAATAGTTTTTGATCTGCTGGTGGTTGGATCTTTGGTTTTGATCTGCAGTTGTTTGAAGAGTTGACTGTAACAGGAAGATCTTCTTCAGCTGAAAATCTCAAGAGCCACTCCTACCAGCTTGTCCTTTCCTGTAGTTCTCACCACTTCCTTAGGGAAAGTTCATGACAGCTTTCTGTTCGCGTCTGTGTCATGGACATATGTGCGAGCACAGTAAGGTGCATTCACAAGTTTATCAGCTCTAGGTCAGAATACATTCCTTCTTACTTTGGTAAGTTTCGGGTTATCTCTAACTTTTAAGTTCAAATGTGAGTTCATCCTCATTTAAAATTCTCTGTATTTCAAGGTAGAGTCATGGGTGTCCAGTAGCCCAAACATGTGGTCACCACGCATCCATCAATTTGTTCATTCATTCATTCCTCAGGAAACATAGATAGAGAAACCTCTACATTATTCTTGCCTTATTGGTTTATAATTTGGGAACAGGAGGCTGTGATAATCATACACAAATAATCCAGTAGATATGAACGTTTTTCTTTTATTGAAAGGCAGAGTGACAAGGGAGGGGTCTGAGGTAGAGACAACATAAATATTTCAGGGGCACAAATACTGTGCTGTGGGTACCTAGGCAGGAGTGATTGATTCAGTGGTGGTAGTACACCAGGGCCCATCAGTGTTTCCCCAAGAGCGCCTTGGTATATTCATAGTTTTCGTATGCAGGAACTAAGCAAAAAGACTAGGAGTTGAGAGGCTGGCTGGAAGGGAGGCTTGCTTTTGGGTCTAAACCTTGGCTTGAATAGAGGAGGTGGAAGCTGACAGGCTGACAGGTCACCTCATTGAACTTTTTCGCAGCTGTGTTGCCAAAGTAAAGGTCCTTCATGACTGTAGGGCACAGCCTTTCGTTCGAGCCTGCTCGCATTCACATTGCCAAGGGCTTATGTTTGCACTGCATGAACTCCAGGCTTGCCCATATGAGCTGCACAGGCATGTCTTATTCTCAAGAGAGGAAGTGGTCTTCTCCCCGCGCTGCATTTGTTGTATTCTTTGAAGTCAGTGAGCTGCAGCCATCAATCCCTACAAAGAAATGGCTGGAGGGGTCCGCCTGTTACAGATTCAGATAAAAGCCCAAGGCGTTTTACCCATCTGGGCTGCTGGTGCGTGTGCTTAGTTGTCAGTGAAGGGATAGAAAGAGATGTCAAGTGAACAATCGACTGCCTTGCTAATAATAAAGAACTGCCGTCCTGTTGGTTAACCATGAGTGTCTCATATCGAGCTGTTCCCTCTATGTCAGGGGCTCCGAGCACGGATTCTGAAATACAGGCTTCGCAGGCCAACACTTGCTTTTCTGTGGCCTCTGTGTAGTTTTCAGCCTGTGCTTAATCGGCTGCAGAGGACGAGGTCACATAGACACCCACCTCTCCTTGACAACCGTCTTCCTTCTTTGACAAAAACAACCGTTCTTTCCTCCAATTGTCCGCAGTGCCTCCTGGGTCTGAGTACTTTGTCATCTACCAGGAAGCATCCCTGAGCATCAGTGTGGCCATGTGGTGATGAGATCAAGGAAAAAAATACCCAGTGGGGTGAGGACCCAGCTCCTAGGCAGAAAACAGGTCAGGCCTTTCACGTTTCACACAGAAACCAATTGCTCCTCAAAGGGCTCCGAGAAGTTGCATGAACCCTGCGCTCCCATTGTACCAGGTCCCTCTGCTGCCTGAGGGGGCCAGATGCATCAAATTGCTCTGTGGGAAGGGACGAAGGTAGGCAGGGCTAGCCTGGCACAGCAACTTGAAGTCCCCCACGCGTCCTTTTGAGGACCAGTCTTTCAACTTCCAGGAAGTCGCTGTGTGCCCTTGGGTATCTTTCTGAATTTCTCAAAGTCTGAAGCTTACAGGTGGAAGACGTGCCCCGGCAGTTCTTAGTGGGGAACTCCCAGCTGAGAGGTGGCTGGTGACAATGCAGATCCAGCGCTGCGTTCACACATCAGTTAGCAGCAGAATTAGGTCTGGACACGCACCAGGCTGCCTCTCTTCCCGTTAATATTAGTATTTTTTGGAAAGGCAGATATACAAAGAGAAGGAGATACAGGAAGAAAGGTCTTCCGTCCGTTTGTTGAGTCTTGCTCTCCAAGTGGCCACATCAGCCAGATTAGAGCCAATCCGAAGCCAAGATCCAGGAGCTTCTTCCAGGTCTCCCATGTGGGTGCTGGGTCCCAAGGCTTTGGGCCACCATATACTGCTTTTCCAGGCCCCAAGCAGGAAGTTGGAAGGGAAACAGAGCACCCGGGCTAAGAACCAGCTGCCATATGGGGTCCCATGGATGCTAGGTGAGACTTTAACCACTAGGCTATCACAATTGAACCAGGCTCATTTTTTTTAAGTTCATGATCTTCTATGGCTTGTTAAGACATAAGTGTCCAAATGGCCCTTGGCAGAAAAAAAGATTGACAGAAAATATAAAATTGAAAATGTGGGGTCAGCACTGTGGCACAGTGGGTTAAACTACTGCCTGCAGTGACTGCATCCCATTGGTTCAAACCCTGGCTGTTCCTCTTCCCATTCATCTCCCTTGTAATGTGCCTATGAAAGCAATGGGAGATGACCCAACACTTAGACTCCTGTACCTGTACCTGGGAGACCCAGAATAAGCATTTGGCTCCTGATTTTTCTGCTTGGCTCAGCTCCAGCTGCTGCAGCAATTTGGGGAATGGACTAGTGGATGAAAGACCTTGCTCTCTCTGTCTCTGTCTCTCCTGCTCTGTAATTGTGCCTTTCAATGAAACACATCTAAAAAGAAAGAAAGAAAGAAAGAAAAAAAGGACTGAAGACAATTGGAAGATAATTCAAGGAGTTGACAAGAGCTAGGGATACTGCCTAATTACTTTCTGCC